ACTCCTGGGCTCAAGTGATCTTCCTGCCTCAGCCACCTGAGTAGCTAGGACTATAGACGTGTGCCACCATGACTGGCTAATTTTTGGATTTTTTGTAGAGATGGGGTCTTGCTGTTGCTCAGGCTGGTCTTGAATTCCTGGCCTCAAGTGATCCTCCCGACCAAGCCTCCCAAAGTGGTAGGATTACAGGCGTGGGCCACTGTGCCTGGCCAGTTATCTCATTTTTTAAAAAGCGATATAAAACCTTATTTGTGCTGTTCATAGGGCAGCTATTGAAGGGTATTTAAAAACCAAAAGCACCAAGTAAGTAGGCTTTAATCAAGCTAATCAATGTTGAATAAAATATATAAGAGAATGATTATACATACTGAAAAATAACATAACTAATCTTTTAAATGATATTAAATTGATAAATTGATTTAATAGTACATTGATTGCTGTTATTATCAATAGTAGTATAATGAAACCAATATAGGCAATACTTGAAGTTAACAAGACCTTAAGCGGAAAAGTTTGTTTAAAATTGAGTAGCCCATATCGGATTTTAAATTTTAATTAGCATTTGTAGTTCATTGCAGTCTATAGCTATTTTCATACACGGTCTTAGGAAAATCATCAGAGCTTATGCAGACCTTGCACCACTGATCCTAGTGATGTGAAATAAATTTTGGATGCATATTGGGTGGCTTTTATGAGGAAATTGGAATAAAGCTAAGCATGGATGCACGGCCATAAATGTCTTTGTATAGTCAGATTCTTGTGTTCATTGAGAGTCTGTAACCTGCATGGGAAAAAGTGGAACTATAGTTTTGTTGAAACAAGACCTTTAACCTTGCCTCTGCTCGCACTGCCGCTACACTCTGTTTTGCATCGTCTTTGGCCAACCTTTGCTTTGTAATGCATTGAGCATGTAGAAATTATGGGGGTTTTGCTCTTAACTTTGGTAGTTCAGAAATGGGGCACAGAGGAAGTTGCTGCTTGGCTGGATCTGCTTAATTTGGGAGAGTACAAAGATACCTTCATCCGTCATGACATCAGAGGGGCTGAACTTTTGCATCTGGAAAGGCGAGATCTTAAGGTATTTCCTTTGCGCTACTCTTCTGCTCTTGAAAATATTCTTGCAAAACAGAATCCTTTCTTCTGTGTGTCTTCTGTTATGTGCTTTAGCTTGGCTTCTGTTATGTAATCTAACATTTACTGTCCTGTGGGCTGAGTTCCTTGTATGCTGTCTAAAATAAGAATGTCAGCAACATTTTCCTGTCAAAATTGCTCTCTATTAAAGCTAAAGCTCAGCATGAATTTAGTAATTTTTCTCTGCATCCATTGGTATGAGTGTTCCTGTGCTGGTGTTTCCACATGGTTATGTTTCTATCAGCACATTTTATTGGACCAACATGGAAGGTGATAATCGTTACTGAAAATGGCTAAAAAAATTCAAATATTAACAACTAAAAATTAGTTCAAAATACTAATAAAAAAGCCTTTCTAGTATATGGAACTAAGTGAGAGACTTATTGCAATAGCTACTTAAAGTCCTATGATTTTTTTCTGTTTTTAAATTGGCCACTTATAAGTCACACAAATTTCCTTTCCATGG